ACCAAAAAAAAAAAAAAAAAAAAGGCAATAAATACCACCAGAATAAAAGAGGGAAATTAATATAAGTAATCAGACGAGGGCACAGAGGAAGTAGAATAAACTTCACTGTGAAAGACTGATAGGATATGTTGGGTAGGGAACAGGGCAGGCAGGTTGAAAAACACAAGCAAAAGCCTGGAGTTAAGATTTGCATGAAGTATCCAGAAAACATGAAGAGATGGATTTGGCTAGTTTTAAAGTTCAGATATTAAAGTGAGAGATAAAACTATAATGGCAAGGCAAGAGAAAATTTAACATAGCCTTGGACACTTGACTAAGGCATTTGAACTTTCACTATAGGCTGATGTTCTTTACACTTCTTAGAAACCATGGTGTTTTTGTGGGGTGCTTCATTAAATACAAACACATTTAATTCCATATTGTTTATCAGGAATAATTTTACCAATCTTTTTAACAAATATGTTTTTATTGATTTTAAAGAGGGAGGAAGAGAAAGGAGAGAGAGAAACATCAATGATGAGAGAGAATCATTGATTAGCTGCCTCCTAGACACCCCTACTGGGGATTGAGCCCCCAACCCAGACATGTGCCCTGACCAGGAATCAAACCGTAACCTCCTGGTTCATGGGTCAACGCTCAATGACTGAGCCACACCAGCTGGGTGAATTTTACCAATCTTCTAATTGCCAAGCGAATGACTCTTCAGTCCCATTTGTCCTGAACATTCTCCTTGGGCTTTGATACCACAATGCTCTCTACATTCTTATTCCTTTTCTGCCTTCTTTGCCAAGACCACTATCCCTCCCCATCACTTAAAAAGAATGTTCTGTCCTTAGCGCCCTTTCACACTAAACAAATGTTTACCCCTTTTGACAATCTAAAGAAATCTACGGACTTTCCTTAACAAAAGTCATGTGTAATATTTAGGGTAATTTCAGGATATTTGGATTTCTAAGAATTCCTACTCTAAATGCCCTTTCTGGGCAACCTCATCTCTTCAATGGTTTTAAATATATGCTGATAACTCCCAAAATTTTACATGCAACCCATATATCCTACAGCCTACTGGATGTCCAAGAGGTTCCTAAATCAATCTATCCACATGGAACTCACCATTGTGCCTCCTAAACAGATTCTTTTTGTTCTGTATTCCCCATTAACAGGAATCTTACCCGTTTGCCTACTTACACAAGTCACAAACCAGGAGGTCAATCTAGATTCCTTCTTCTCCTCAATCCAATCCATCATCAAATGTATTTAGATACTTGTTCCTGATCATCTCTATTACTTATGGTTACTTTGGGCCTTTAATTCTTGCCTGGATTATTATATTAATCTCCTAACTGGTTTCTCTGACTCCAGACTGACAACACTGCAATCTATCCTTCTTTACTAAAGTGCAGAGTTTCTTAAAATAATAACAGAACTCCACTGTACCACTCATTCTGTTATTTTCTTGCTTAAACTTTTAAAATTTTTAATCTTAATTGTCAAAAGTATTACAAATGTCCCCCTTTCCCCCCATTGATCCCCTCCACCCTGTACCCTTCCCTCAAGCACTTCACCACAATATTGTCTGTGTCCATGGGTTACGCACATATACATATACATTCTTAGGTTAATCTCTCCACACCCACACATCCACTCTGCTTTCCCTCTGAGTTTCATCAGTCTGTTCCATGCTTCTGTGTCTATGGATCTATTTTGTTCATCAATTTATTTTAGTAGGTTCCACATATGAGTAAGATCATGTGATACTTGTCTTCCTCGGACTGGCTTATTTCACTTAGCATAATATTCTCCGGGTGCCACCACGCTGTCTCAAAGGGTAAGGGATCCTTCGTTTTTACAGCCANNGTTTCCTTGTTGATTTTTTTGTCTGGAAGATCTATCCAGTAGTCAGTGGGGTGTTAAAGTCCCCTACTGTGACTGTATTGCTGTTGATCTCTCCTTTAAAGCCCTCCAGAAGTTTTTCGTTTTTTCCCAATTGTGTGAGTCTTCTGTTCTGAGGTGGGTCTCTTGTAGACAGCATATATTTGNTGACTGTATTGCTGTTGATCTCTCCTTTAAAGCCCTCCAGAAGTTTTTTGTTTTTTCCCA